AGTTGAAGAAAATGCAAACAGATGATTGAGTACTGTTTTTATTTCCCCCCTTTTCTTTTGTGAGGTCAACATACTTACTGGTATACTACCTCGCTCAAAGTAATAGTGGCTTTAAAGCTTGAGAAAATTCAAAGCTTAATTTGGGTGGAGGGGGAACAGGGGTTGTGTCTGATGAGAAAAAAATAGACCCTCTCTCTTGTATCAATTTGCTGGAGTCAGGAAAGAGCTGAGCACCCTCCTTCTGGTATCTGGGTGGGGACAGCTGCTTCTCTGGGCTGTTCAGAGTAAGTCTGAGTGAGCTTCAGGCTGGGCTGGCCTCTGTCCAGGTGAGTGTGAGTGGTACTTATAGGCTTTGGGAGGAGTCTAGGTAAAAGCTCCTTTCAGTGTCCTCAACCAAGGGGCAAGCTCTAGCTGCACTACCAGCCAGGTATCCAGAGGAAGCAAGCTTCAAAAATTGTACAGATGTTATTCAGTGCTAAAAAGAAATGAGCCCTGGCCAGTGTGACTCAGTAGTTAGAGGGTTGACCTGCGAACTGAAGGGTCACAGGTTCTCTTCCCAGTCAAGGGCATGTACCTGGGTTGCAAGTTTGATCCTGGCCCCAGTTAGGGCACATGCCGAGGGGAGGCAACTAATGGATCTGTCTCTCTCACATTGATGTTTCTCTCTTTCTCTTCATCCCTCCCTTCCATCCACTCTCTCTAAAAATCAATGGAAAAAATATCCTCAGGTGAGGATTAACAAAAAACCCCACAAAAATAAATAAATAAAATAGGGAGTTATTTAAAAAGTAATAATAAAAAATGAGCTATGAAACCGTGAAATTCATGGAGGAACTTTAATGCATATGACTAAGTGAAAGCTGTCAAACTGAAAAGCCTCCATACTTTATGAGTCCGACTACATAAATATCTGGAAAAAGCCAAATGAGGAAGAATGATAGAAAGATTAGTGGTTGCCAGGGGCTAGCAAGGAGGGAAGGATGAATAAGCCAGACACAGAAGATTTTTAGGGCAGTAAAACTATTCTGTGTACCCTAATGATGGATACATGTTATTATACATTTGTTAAAACCCAGAGGATGTCCAACACCAAGAGTGAACTGTAATGTAAACTGTGGACTTTGGGTGATAATGATGTGTCAGGGTAGGTTCATCAGCTATACCAGATGTCCCACTCAATTGGGGGATGTTGATAGTAGGGGTGGTAGTATTTGTGTGGGGATAGGAAGTATATGCTAACTCCCTGTACTTTTTGTTCAGTTTTGCTGTGGAGCTAAAACTGCTCTAAAAATAGTCTATTAAAAATTGTACTGGCAATAATGTGTATAAATGCTACAGTAGAATAATTTTTTCTGGGATCTCATGTTTTAAAGACAAAGCAGATATGAACATATGAAGTGAGGAAGTAAAGAAATACCTTATTTGCTTTTTTCTCCTGCTCTTTTTTATTTATTGAAGGATTTTAGAGAGAGAGAGAAAGACATAACACAGAAACATCAATTTCATTATTTATGCATTATTTCTGTTGTTCCATTATTTATGCGTTCATTGGTTACTTCTTGTATGTGCCATGACTGGAGATCGAACCCACAACCTTGGCATATTGGGATGACACTCTCACCAATTGAGCTACCTAGCCAGGGCCTCAAAGAACTCTTTAACTGTTCACAGAATGTTAGAATTTTGCCTGGTAAAAAAGGGGTGAAATGCAGGCTGGGTGAATCCCCTCTCCACATGGCTGTGGGGGCTTTTGATGTGAATCTGAAGCTTTGTTCTTACTACTGGGGTTTTTCTGTGAGATAAACAGGGCCCGTCCTCCAAACCCATCTTTCCCCAAGGTCAACATTGACAGCTCAGCCGTGGACTTCCTTCCTTCCAGTCCTCACATCCCATGTGATACTGAAGCCTTACAGGACATCCTTGATCCTAATCCTAAGACCTGTGAGCTGCACAAGGAGGGAGAGGGGTCATATTCAGCCTCTGTGCTCTACAAAGGTATATTAGTTAAACTAAGAAATGGGATCAGGTTCAAAGTTCATCACCTGTTCATAAGTAGTACTGATCCCTTTAATAACCCACTAACTCCGTAAGATACCATAAATGGAAGTAATGTTTTAAAATGTGAATTTCTATATACTATTGATGATGCAAAATTTTATTTCTTATTATGAAGATAATAAATGTTTATGGTATTAGCAAAAGAAGGAGAAGGAAAACATCTACCACTTCAGAGATAACTCTTGTTAATGGTTTGTTGTATATCACCTCCAAAGGACACTGAGAGAATCCAGTGGAAACATCTGTGTAATTGCGCCATCATTAATGTCTCTATCCCCACCTCAAAAAGCTGTAAAGAGCACAGTTAATTTTACTTGATCACTGGCCCCTTAGGAATCTTGGCAAATGTATAACTTGTAGGCAAGTATATCCCATCCAACTCACAACCCACTTTTCAGTGGGAAACAAATGGTTGAGGTGTAGTGATTTTTTAAATCCTGCTAAAAGAACTTTATGTCTCTTCACCACTAAATTATGGCACCTTATCTCACAGTTAATAGCATCTAATGGCTGTATCTCCAGGTAATGTAATCCCTCTGGACATGCAAAGTATGCAAAGCCCATGTTTTAGAACAAAAGGGTATTTTTCTCTCGCCAGTAAATAAAAGGATTTTTTAGCTATAAAAGGACAAAGGGTTTTAAAATTATTCCACTGGGCAAGGTTTTCTAGATTTTTTTTTGGTGGGGGGGCACTTGGCCTTGGAGCTAGCCCAGCACCTTCAGTCTCCTTCCATTTTTGTAGCAGCGTAAAGAATTTGCTGAATGAGACTATAGTCACTCCATGGTGTGATGATTAAATCCCAGGGTCGTCTCAGTATAAAGGCAGCTGCAACCAGCCGTGTAGAAGTGTTGTCAGCAGACCACTGATCAGTGTGTAGAACTAAAGACATTCCTTTTCCTTTAAATATCTTCACTGCCCTCTCAAGGTTATATGTTTTTCTTTTTGAGGAAAAACATTTACTTTTTAACACTAATTGTAGCAAGAAGGGCAAAACTTCACTAAGAAATTGTCAAAGATGTTTAACCTAACTAAGGTATTGTTGCAGCATTTTCCAGGTTTAAATGGCTCTGTAACACCAGGTCTCCCTTTTTTATTTTCTCTATATGCTTCATAGCCCTGAAACCCAAGAGTGCCGTTGTCTACTGTAGTTGCTCTATTGCAAGAAGAAATGGTCCACTCCCTGGTCCCGTTCCCTTCTTAAGATATTGCTATTGCCAGAGACAGAGGATAAAGTTATATGAATAATTGAGAACAGTTTGCCTCGAAGTGTGTATTGAGGAATCGGCACAATGTCAGTGCTTTAAGTCAATTGTCAACAACAAAATCAACAGCAACCACTTGTGACATCCCAGTTACTCTTCTAAATACCTAGGCACATTTAGTCGCTTCATCCTGACAGTAACCCCAGGGGGTGGAGGTCATTACTGTCCCTATGTTGCAGATGATGACAGAATGGCACACAAAGGTAAATAGCTGAGCCAGAATTTGAATATGAACAATTTGACTTGAGAGCCTGCCCTCTGAACCTAATTAAATGGATACGAGGACCCTGAAAGATTGGTGTCTCCATTTTACAGATGAGAAGTTGGGGCTCAGAAAGATGAACATCTTTGCAAGAACTTCTCACACCTGGGAAGTAGCAGAGTTTGGTTTAAAATCCTTATTCCAAAGTCTTCCCACGTTTCTCATATTGTAACGTCTTCCTTTGTATTCAGGGCTTTATTCACATCGGAGAGAGCTTATAATTGGCCAATAGACAGAGGCTTAATTGGCCTATGACATATTTTTCTGGATTCTTTCTGTACAGGAAGCTACCTGTTTAGATTGTACTCTTCATTCATGTAAATACCACAATATGAACTGCATCTCTTTCTATATAAATAGCTGTAGGATTAAGCTTCCCAGTTTATTCCTGCCTCAAGGACTATGGTTGCTGTCCCTCTGCCTGGAATGCTTTGAACTGAGATCTTGACTTGGCTGACTCATTCATCTCAGGTGTAAGCTCAGAGGTCATCACCTCAGGGGGCTGACCCTGACTACCTGTACTGGTTTCCTAAGGCTCCAATAACAATGACCACAAACTGGGTGGCTTAAAACAATAGAAATGTATTATTCTCTCATAGTTCTGGAGGCCAGAAGTCCAACATTGAGGTGTTGGTAGGGCCATGCTGCCTCTGAAGGCTCTAGAGGGGAAACCTTTCCCTGCCTCTTTTAATTTCTGGTAGCTTCATGCATTCTTTAGCGTGTGGCAGCATAACTCCCATTTTTGCCTCTCTCTGTGACTCCTCTTCTAAGAATACTTGTTATTGGATTTAGGGCCCACGTGGATAATTCAGGATGATCTCATCTCAAGATGCTTAATATATATGCAAGACTATTTCTCCAAATAAGGTCACATCTAAAGGTTCTGGGTGGACATATCTTTGGCGGGGGGGTGCCATTATACCCTACTCTAGGTAAACTACATTATAGATAAAGCAGTCTTTGCTGCAGTCACACTCTGACATCATCACCCAGTTCATTTTTTTCTGAGCCCTTGCCCTTATTTGATGCATCTTGTTCTTTAATCTGCCTACTCTTCTTTGTTACCTGTCTCCAGCTTCATGAGTGTCACTTCTGTGTCCTTGGTGCCTGCACCAATGCTTAGTATAGTGTAAAAATCACCAAATAATTACTGAATGAATAATACCATTGGACAAGTGTGCTGTCAACTTGGCTCCTTTCAACAATCCATAGGATTTTTAAAATATTAGTTTATGTTATTTGAATTTCAGTTACATGTTTTTCGAAATGTAAGTATATTATGGAGCATGTATTTAACACAATGAATAAATATATTCGGCCATTTGAATGTAACAATTGCTAACTGGTCTTCCTGGTTCATTTAGCTTTTACTTTACCCCAGGAACAATCCTCAGCAGAATATTTCTTTCTCCCCTAGGCTCCGATCACCTCCGGGAGAAAGATGGCCTGTGGGCTGTCTTGGTCTGGCTCTCCATTATCGCTGCCCGGAAGCAGAGTGTAGAGGAAATTGTTCGAGATCACTGGGCCAAATTTGGCCGCCACTACTATTGCAGGTGAGAAGGGTAAAGGTCTCTGTGTGGACACTGGGAACTACTCTTAGAGAAGGTTTCTAAAACTGGTGGCCTAGGACCTAAAGAAGGAGGCATCTTTGAGGAAGATCTGAGGAACACAGAGGATAAAGCTGGATAACCCCTGAGAGGTGGTTGGGGTGGAGTCAAGGACTACCAAACTGGAGGGTTCAGATTTCCTCTCTCCCAGTGCCATCCCTCTGTAATCTTTCCATCAGTGCCTATAAGGTGGGCAGTCATCTCGAGAGGGAATCTGAACTGCAGAGCCTTGGAAAGTTCTTTGGTACTCATAAGTTGTACAGTCAAACCAAGGGCTTTTCTTGTTGGCTCTCCACCCATAATTATCAAGAAAGGGGGAGGGGGGCACGCAGACAGAAGCCGTGACAGGGCAGGGTGCTTTTGTAATCCTCTCCCTACCTTTGTCTTATCTCCCACTAATAGTCCAAATCATGTCTGAGATGCCTGAGTGGCGCCCTCTGTAGGGGCCACATGATTCGGAAGTCCTAGATTTTGCTAAAGTTTTATCCCCATAAAAGGAGGTACAGAAAAAGGAAATATTACCCTGGGAAGGAGGAAGGGAAAAGGTCAGTGGCTAAAAGCTTTGGGTTGGGGGTCTCTACCACTTTTCTGTTGTTGAAGTAAGTGAGGGGACGGTCTTCTCGCTGTGTGGTTGCCTGCTAAATGTGTGTCCCTAGTACTCAGCCATGGTTCAGAGGAAACTGGTAGGAAAGGGTGTTAGGAAAGAACATGGGGATGGAGCAAGGGAATTCTTGGGTAGTCTTACAGGCTCTCTGTATTAAAAACAGATTGTGGCTCATTGCTTTGCTTATGAATAGTTAATTCCTTTGGATGTTTGATTGTGTTTCAAGAGCTTGAGGGACAGAAAGAAAGCTTTAGACTTCCCTTATAAGGTGATTGTTTCTTCTCTTAAGAGGTCATTTACTTAGATAAATATCAGAGAATAAGGAAGCCTGTGATTGCACTCATTAAAGTGAAAGAAACTACATTGCTCTGACAATGCCATAATATTTTTGGTTCCTGTTTAGTCAACAAGGCTAAGGATGTAAGAGTCTGCAAATCATCTCAAATTATTCATTGTGTCGTAAAATAAGGACTCTCAAGACAGGTGGGAACTTGTTTTACCCCCTAGTATTTTTAACAAGTGCCCCAAAACCCTGCTTCTTGTGGACTTTTTCTTGGCCTACTAAGGAGCTAATTGGCACAGCAAATCCTTCAATTGAGTAAAGCTGTTTTTTAAAAGTCCAACCTGATAAAATATATCATGATTGCTAAACTCTGGCTTAGTGAGATTGCTTTGAGAGGGATGTGTTTCTCATAATTTGTGGAATGATTATCTAGTTTTCTGCCAGTGTTTTGAAGACATGGTGTTATGATAAGTATATATAATATAGTTCACGTTTTTGTGGCCAAGAGCTTACGTGATAATTACCTTTTTCATAACAAATACCATATTAGAGAATATAAAGCAATGGAGATTTGAATTCTTGTTGGACACTGTTTTATGTTTTAGGTTCTGTCCAAAAGATCATAGAGATAAAGACAGAGGGAGGAAAGGTAGAATGAAAGGTGAACATTTCCTTCAGCCTCCAGCTAATGCAGATTGAAAGGTGCTTGTGAAATAAGATGGTTTCTAGCCTGTTTTCTTAGTGGGGAGGAGATAATCAAACAATTTTGGTTTCATCAATACTGAGTCTGAAGTTGTATCAGAGAACCCAAATTATTTTCCTTATGTGAATTGACCCCAGAAGTTCTTCATTTAAAGGTTTCTTCCCTGGAATATGTGTTAGTGGTGGGGTAGTCAGAGGGGGTTGTAGTCAGAGGGGAAGGACCTGCTTGTGTATGACGATGAGCATCTGGGCTGGCTGGTCTGATGACTTCAGCCATAGACTGACTTGATCTGTTATAATGTTAGTGGATTTTCTCAATTTCTGAATCACTTTCAATGCCTCTTTATCTCCTAAGAGATTCTCTTAGCCCAGTGGTCGGCAAACTGTGGCTCGTGAGCCACATGCAGCTCTGTGGCCCCTTGAGTGTGGCTCTTCCACAAAATACCACGTGCGGGCGCGCATGTACAGTGCGATTGAAACTTCGTGGCCCATGCGCAGAAGTCGGTATTTTGTGTAAGAGCCACACTCAAGGGGCCAAAGAGCTGCATGTGGCTCGCAAGCCGCAGTTTGCCGACCACTGAAGACTTAGCCCATCATCTCACCCCTTTCTGCTCAGTCTTTTACCTTCCCCAAAAGACTATCTTTAAGAGAATCTAGGCTCAGAATGCATGCAATGATGAGAAAGAATGTTCTGAGTTCCATACTTTTTTGTTTCTGAGGTTGGGGAAGACACATCTTGTGTTAGGAGGGAGAGAAAAAAAGATATGGTTATAGGTGCAGGGGACCCATTGTAAGACATGGTATCATTTCATGTTCTGAATTTTGGCTACTACCCTGATATTTACTTAAAAATATTGGGTGGAAAAAAGTAGAAACAACCATTCAGATATTCCTTCTTTCATTTCACTCTGAGAATTCACATTTTCCCCTGTGTTACAGGGAGCCCAAATGTGAGGTCCCAATACCACCACTTGAGCATAGCTGCCCATCGAAAGGGCTTGCTTCTTAAACAGAACATTCTGGTTGTGCCATCAGATGTTGAGAAAGACTCTACAGTTTCTTTATGGTAGTGACTAAGAATAAAAGTAATTAGCAGTTTAAGCACTGGTGTCTGGCACTGTGCCAACTACTTGGTATCCATTACCATATTTAACTCTCATAACAAGAAATGAGGTTGGTGTTATTTTTAGACATTTTTTTGCCTAATCATGTTTCAGCCCCATTGTTACATTTGATGAATGAGTACTTTTGGCTAAGAGGACTTTTTTCTTTTTTTTTTTTTAATGGAAAAATGGTGATATTTCTTCCAAGTTTCTAGGAGACTTTTATGGTATGTTGAACTCCCACTTTCTCTCTTTACCTCCCTTGATTCATCTCTCTCCTTCCTCCCTCCCCTTCCTCCCATCTTTTATTCCACTACTCACAAAGCACTTACTACTTATCAGAAGCAGCCGAGAGCAAAACAGGTAAGGACTCTGCCCTCCAGGAGCTTACAGTTTTTGTGGGCAAAGACAGACAAGAAATAATAAACAAACAATCAAGGTAAATACAAATTGGGATAACTACTAAAGAAAAGTGAAAGGGTGATGAGAGAGGGGGGGATATAGAGGGAAGCTATCTCAGATGGACCTTCAGAGAAGGTTACTTTCTGGAGGTGACACTAAGTTTGAAAACTGAAGGAGAGAATGCTAGGTAATTTGAGTAGCTGGGGGAAGAATATACTAGGTAGAGGGAACGGACAGCAAGAGCAAAGGCCCAGAGACAGCGAAGAGTGCAGTGTCTCTGAGAATGGAGAGAAGGCCAGTGTGGTTACAGCATAAAGAAGAGGGAGAAAGTAGGACAGTCACAGTCAGGAGGTGGGCAGGGTCACATTCCCTTATAGACTATGGCTAGGGTTTTGAGTCTTGTTCTCAATGTGATGGGCACTTTTGGAGGAATTTAAAGGAATGGAGTGACATGGCGATTTTTATACCACCACTCTGACTGCTGTGTGGAGAATGGATTGTAAGAGCCAGGTGGAAGAGGGGAGATTAGTTTGGAGGTACTTTTCTGTGTGGTTTTTCCTTGAAAATAAAACCAATCATGAGATGACCATAAGAGGTTCACTTAATTGCTCGTTCTCGAATTAAGTTTGTGTTCATCCTGTGTCCTGCCCTCCCTCACCAGGTTTGACTATGAGGGGCTAGAGCCCAAGGCGACATATTACATCATGAGGGACTTGGAGGCCCTGGTCACAGACAAGTCCTTCATCGGCCAGCAGTTTGCTGTGGGGAGCCATGTCTACAGTGTGGCAAAGACAGACAGCTTTGAGTATGTGGACCCTGTGGATGGCACTGTGACCAAGAAACAGGTACTTGCTAAGAAATCATCAAAACAAAAATCATCAAAATATCAGGCAGAGCCAGATGCCAAAATGTCCTAGTGTTTAGGGATGATGTACTCTGAGCCCTTCATTTTATAGATGAGAGCCCTGTAGCCAGGAGAGGGAAAAGCCCTTGGTGAAGGCTACCTACCTAGTGAGTGGCAAAGATTAGATTAGAGCATGGGGCCCTGAATTTCTGTCTGGTATTCTTTCTACTTGGTAACTAATGGGCCAAAATCTCAAACGGGTAATAGACCCAACACTTCTTTATGAAATGTTTGTACCTGCAGGCTCTCTATGTGGTGGCCATTTCTGGTGATGAGCTCAGTTAAGTTTCCAGGAGCAAAAGATCCTTTTCCTTGGGACCCCCAGGTGCAAGAATGTTTCCCCTTTTATGATCTTTTGTCATTGAGGAATGAGAGGAGCTTAGCCAGATGGGTTTGTTACTCCTGGTAGGGGAAGAAACAGAAAATTTGCCACACCAAACCCCAAAGAGAGATTTATGGTTGAGAATTATTGATGGTTGAGAATTATTATCACCATAGGTAAGTGGTGGAATTAAGCACAACTTCTGTTATGGTCTCATCTTTGTGAATTGTGTAAGAAAAGTTGAAAGCTATTACCATTATTTTCTTCTCAGTTTCGTTTGTTTATTGTCTGTGGTAAATATTGACTGCTTACAGTAAATTTTAACATTTACAGTCTAAATAAGATACTCTGAGTAACATTAAGAGAAGTTCCACTCTAAAATCCCCAAATTCTTATCTTCTTATACATTCTTCATCAAGTATAGATGACAAAATAAATCAGAAGCTGTAAAGTTTAGGGGACTAAATATAATAATATTTAAGTATTAATGCTATTTTAAATATAATAGTATTAAAGTAGTAATGCTATTTTTATCTTGGCCAATATTTCATTCATATTTGTTCCTCTAGGTTATCCTGACTTGCAAATGTTCCAAAATTCAATGTCATCCTGTTACTCTCTTGGTATTCTCTCTCTGGTCTGCTTCGTTTTATGGTGATTTTTCATCTCTATCAAAATGTCAATCTTTCATCCTTAGAAGGCCTCTTATGGCCAGACAAAAGGATTACAGTCTTACTTTGGAAAGGTCTAAGGTAGTGAAGAAAATGGTGGTTACGAAGTTTAAAGACCCAGAATTGAATTCTACCCCTGCCAGTTACTAGTGTCTGACTTTGGCAAAGTTGCTTGATTTTTTTGAGCCACAGTTTCTTCCTAATCTGTAAAATATCTGGCTCAGAATTGTTTTAGAAATGGAATGAAATAAACTATGCAAAAGCTCATAGCTATCCTTGACACAGGGAGTACACAGTACATTTTTTGTAGTTATGTTTTGTTTCACTCCAGGATGCTTTCTTGACTGGCTTGAATTCTCTCCAAAATAATACCAGTGATTCCCTGGAAATGTGCAGCCAGGAACTCAGCACATGGCGTCTTGGAGCCTCTATGCTTTGGATAAGTCCTTTCCAGTTTTGTACCATATTCCCACTTGCATTTTACATAAGGACCTTGGGGCTTTTTCTTCTCAAAGCCAGGGCTCATTTTGTTGTTACTGTAAAATTTAAGAGTTGTAAACTACATGCTTTCTAAAGTATCTTTGGATGGTTTCCATTCCCCCATGAGGAAGGCTTGCACACCATCCCTTGAAGGGATCATCTAGTCAATGCTGGTTCTGGATTTTATCTGCTCATATAAAGCTTGTCTGTTGAGCTCATTTGTTTTGCTCTTAAATCCACTAATACTCGACCATTTTCTTCTTCAGTGCACTTAGCATTTGGATACTTTTCCCCTAGCTTTTCTTTAATTGTTCACATCAGGCTAATTGCTCAGTGAAGTCTCAAGTTTGGACATTTATTTATTCCATATCCCCTCCCCTCTAACCCTGAATACTGGTTTCCATTTACACTCTGGAATTTATTGGTATTTTTTCTTTCCACACTCTTTCATCTGAGCTCAGATGTGGCCATAAATAGATAAGTGCTACCAGAACCTGCTCTCGGGAGCTGCTCTGAGACAGAAGGAAGGTTGTTCATCTTTCCAGATTCCAGGATCCATGTGACATCTTCATTAGCTAGTGGCCCTGAGTCACACTGGAGCTTCTTCACAGGTCCGGATTTGGCCCAGTAAGGGTTATGAGAGGCCACTAACACTCAGTGGCGTCCCATGGTCAGTAAGTCACAGGTGGTTCTTTCACCACAATTGGCCCCATTGGTTTAGAGGGGGAATTCCTGCATTGTGCAGCTGTTGCTAAACTTCCACAATGGAGGCCCACATCTCAGCATTCTTGGGATGGCAGTAATTGTCAACATTTAATTCCAGGGACAGTTGAGTCTAGGGCACACTTTATGCACCACTGTTGCAAAATAAACTACTCCTAAAAGATATATTTGAATTTAAACAAACTAGCATTATTTTAATATAGTCATAAGGTATGTTGGTACATTTATTCAATAGGTATTTCTTGAGAGACTACCCAATGCATAATATTAGTGTGTTGTTGTTTTTTATGGTGCAATTTTTAAAATACAAGTATATAACAGCTTTATTGAGATATAATTCACCTACCATATAATTCATCCATTTAAAGTGTACAGTTCAATGGTTTGTGGTATATTTATAGAGTATATTCACTGCTGTCAATTTTAGAATATTTTCATCACTTCAGAAAGAAACCTTGTCCTCTGTAGCTGTCCTCTCCCAACCCCTGACAACCATCTACTTTCTGTCTCTATGGATTTTCCTGTTCTACACATTTCCCATAAATGGAATCATACAATATGTGCTCCTTTGTGACTAGCTATTTTGGCTCAGCATAATGTTTTCAGGATCCATATATATATACCTATATATTCACATTGCACTAAATATCAATACTTCATTCCTGTTTATTACCAAGTAATATTTCCTTGAGTAGCTATACCACATTTTGTTTATTTACTCATCAGTTGATAGATGTTTGGATTGTTTACTCTTTGGGGCTAGCCTATATAATAAAAGGCTAATATGCAAATCGACTGAACTGGAACAACCAGTTGCTATGACATGCACTGACCACCAGGGGGCAGATGCTCAATGCAGGAGCTGCCCCCTGGTGGTCAGTGCACTCCCACAGGGGGAGCGCCGCTCAGCCAGAAGCCCTGAGCCAGGCTCACGGCTGGCGAGTGCAGCGGCAGTGACGGGAGCCTCTCCCATCTCCACAGCAGCACTAAGGATGTCCGACTGCCAGCTTAGGCCCAGGAGGACCAGGCCTAAGCTGTCAGTTGGACATCCCCTGAGGGCTCCCGGACTGTGAGAGGGTGCAGGCTGGGCTGAGGAACCCCCTTTGCACCAGGCCTCTAGTTATGAATAATACTGTGTGAATATTCATGTAAAGTTTTTGTGCAGACATAGTTTTTCAGTTCTCTTGGATATACATCTGCAAGTGGAATTACTGGTCAAATGGTAACTCTTTGTTTAATCTTTAAAGAAACTGCCATATGGTCTTCTGAGCAATTGTACCATTTTACATTTTCACCAGCAGTATATGAGATCCCAATTTCTGCACACTTTCTCCAGCCCTTGTTATTATCTCTCTTTTTTAATATAAAATACTCTAATTTTCAAATAACTTAGTATATTATGGATTATTTTAAAATTAAGATAGAAAGAGATTTAATCTTCACAAAAAGAAACAGAAGTATGCCTCACCTAACAAAACCCAAAGGATGTTAACATATGCATGAACATCTCCATTTGCTGGGAGAGGCAGATGGCTATGGTCTCTCCAGAGTTCTATTGTGTTGGAGTCAGACAGACACAGATTTAAAGTCTAGCTTTGCCACTGCCTAGATTTGTGACTTTGGGCATGTTACTTAACTTCTCTGAACCTCAACCTGGTGGTGGGGGTGGGTGATAGTAGTAATAATTACCATAGAGGGTTATGAAGAACGTTTGAGGGCAAAGTCCCCAGACACAGTAGCTAGTACCCATTTGATGCTTGAGAAATATAAGTTCCTTCCCGCTTTGCAGAATTCTTCACTTGCCTGAATATCAGTTTGCAGAAAAAGTGTGAGTGGTGTTTAAATGTACAGGCTTGAAGTCACAAAGTCTTGGGTTTGAATCTTAGCTCTGCCTCCTCCTTGCTGGATGATCTTAGATATGTCATTCAACCTCCCTGTGCCTTCCTATCCTCATCTGTGAAAATAAGAATAGTGATTGTGGTTACCTCATACAGCCATTGGGAGAATCACGAGATAATACAGATAAAGTCCTGGCACATAATAAACATGAATAAATGGTTAGCTAAACTAAGTTATGACATTGCGGATGAATCACGAGAATTCTCGTGTTTTCTGTTCTAAGGCTTGTGGCCAATCATGAGAATTCTTTAAAAAGATATTAGCTTGTAAGAACATGTAATAAATAACTTCAAAATGCAATGGGTATTTAATTTTAAATCATGCCTTTAACATTTATGTAAAACGTTTTTTGTACTCATTCAATAGAATCTTATCTGGCCACTAGGTAAAGCTAGCAATAAAACTACTGGTCTGCAATGTGTTAAAAGGGGGTCCTTGGGAAAGAAAGATTTTAGTGTTTAATAAAACATATGATAAGAAAAGCATGAAAAAACCATGCAGCCTTGCAGGAGATCATGTAAAGACCTGGGAGGGCCTCTGCCTTCTCTGAGTTATCTGTGAATTTACTTAAAGTCACATTTCTCTGCCTTCCCTATGTCCCCCTCCTCCCCCTCCCCCAACTTCTTCCTACCTCCACTACCACCTACCCCCCTACTTCACTTCAGAAAGGAAAAGTTCTTTTTAAGGCAGCTCAGTCTCCTTTTCGTCCTTGATTCGAGGTTGGAGTCAGGAAACAGACCGTGGAGAAAAAGCTGTTTTACACGTATCTTTAGAGATAAAGAAGAAAAGCTTCTCCGTCCAAAACGAAATTAAAATCCCCATCACCTCCTGTCCACCCCACTGCTG